CTCTCATCAAGAACCCCATTCACCCCTTTGTAACCTGTTTTGGCCTCCTTCTTCCTCTTTCTGACTCCTGGAAACAAAATGCTATCATCTTTATTTCTGGAGCTCTTGCAAACAGGGAAACCTATATGATTATCGGGTTTGTCACCAAAGACTACACTTGGTCCGTGATGCTGGTGATCCTTTAGTTCTGCCCGTTACAAACTTCTCCCTGATTTCCAACGGTCCAGTTTAGTGGGCCAAGTTCAAACTCCCTAAAATAAAGGACATAACACTTGTTCCTTCATTGTCATTTAACAAAACAAAAACATAGAGCGATATATAATGAACACATTAAAAGACCAAAATTAATAATTACTATGTAAGCATATGGATGCTTACTTTAGAGGAGGCATTTTATATATATATATTACCTCTAATACAACAATTTCAGAAGGTAAACTATATCCATCCTCATTTGCACATGAGGCAACAGTTAAAAGATAAACTGGGGCATATTTTAAAAATTTTTTAAGAGTTTATGCGAGCAAAAATCAATTTCTATTGGGAATCTGGAAGTGGTTAGGAGCAGTCCACCAACAGAAGCTTAGGGAAAGATTTTTATAGAGAAAAGTTGGAAGCAGATCAAAGTAATCATTTTGTTGGCTATAGCTTAAGCACTTCACTTATTTGCACTTATTTGCAAAAGCCTAGTTGGCTGTGATTTGTTGCGAAGGGGAGTAGAATGTGCCACCCCAAATATGCCTCTTTGGCTTAAGAATGATCTCAAGCAGGTTGTTTTTAAGTAACTGCAGACAAAAGAGAAGTTCTGAAAACCAAGTAGGAATTACCCTTTTGTAAGGGACATTTACATTTATTTATTTATTTTTTTACATTTACATTTATAAGGAAATCTCCATTTTTAAGGGTGTTTCGCTCCTGGGGCCAGATTGAGAAGGATGACTCTGAATCACCATAAACTCTTATCAATGGAAAAGGCATAGATTTAAATCAATATAAGAATTTTACCTTTTACTGTGCTTTTCCTAATAACCTCTTACAACCGGTTCCCCCTTCTCCCTCCAAAAAATTAGTTTTTCTTTTGTCTTTAGCTGAAGATAGTATTTAAGTGATGGCTTGGGCCATTTGGGGGAGTCACTCAGTTTTCCTGGATATTTCCCATGTATATAGGAGGTATTCATATTATTTACATTATGTTTGGTTTTCCCCTTTATTCTGTCTTTTGTTACTGAGGAGAGGGGAAGTGTTTCAACCCAAATCCTTAAAGGGTAGGAGGAAAATTATTTCCTGTAGAGAGACCAAAAGTAAGTCTCTCTACAGAAATAAGAGTCTCTCTTTCCCATCACAGCTGGGAGAAAACTAAAGAACAAATGCAAAGAGATATTTCTAAAAGAAAATGGATACCAGTATAGAGGCACACTATTTATTGAAACTTAAATATGATGAGAAAGACTTCTCTGAAAGAGGCAACTTGAGTTAAAATGTGTTTGTCTGGAAATAGGAAAGGTATGATGATTTAAAAATCAGGAAAGCCCAGTGATCCGCCACTCATTTGGGAAAATCCTAATTACATGCATGGACTTTGGAGACAGACAAACCCAGATCAAGAACCTCACCCTTACCAGCTGTGTAATCTTAGATCCATCTTTTTATTTTTATTTTTTTTAAGATTTTATTTATTTATTCATGATAGACACACACAGAGAGAGAGAGAGAGAGAGAGAGGCAGAGACAGAGGCAGAGGGAGAAGCAGGCTCCATGCAGGGAGCCCGACGTGGGACTCGATCCCGGGACTCCAGGATCACGCCCTGGGTCAAAGGCAGGCCCTGAACCGCTGAGCCACCCAGGGATCCCCAAGATCCATCTTTTTAAAATTCTGTTGTTTCATCTTTAAAATGGAGGTTACATTAGCACTTACCTTATAAAGTTCTTAAAATTAAATCAGAAAATCTACAAATAATGTTATTAAAAAAAACAAAATTCAACTGAGTAAATTTTGAGGATCTTATTGGTTCTACTCAGTGATTCCTTAATTGGGCAGCATCCAATCTAGCACAAAGAAAAGAGCTCCGAGGAGCTGTCCAAAAATGCAAATTTTATAGGCAGAAGGGAGCAGAGACAAGGAAGTTATAATAAGGCCAAAAAGCAGATTGGTTCGGGCAAGATTACTTTCCTTTAGGAGATGACTGAGGTCTGTCAGGCAGATTACCTAATTTATGCAGATTAGGCGAATAATGATTGGTTTAAGATTCCATTTCTGGAAGAGCCAAAACTGAAATTAAGTCTCAGTTTGATGACGTGAGGTTTAGCGCGAGTGATTCCATTTTGGGTTTGTCATCTTCTTCCTAACAATGCTTACCGCAGAACCTAGCCTACAAACTTAGTCTTCATTATTACTGTTATTAGAAGACCAGGAGAATCTCGTCTACTGCTTCCAGTGGGAACATTGTTTATGGACTTCGTTTGGAAAGGGCCAATCAATGTTATGAGCACCAATGATTCCAGCTCAGATATTCTCAGATTCTAGCCACTTGATTCAGGAGGTGCTCTTTTCTTTTTTTTCTGCTTGATTGGGTTTTGTTTCTCTTCCTCTTAACACCCTGACCGCCCTTTTAGTGGATTCCCGTGATTGTTTAATCAGTTCTCTCTAGGGTTTCCTCATTACAGCCACTTCCTCAAGAGCCGCCCAAGACAACACTACAATCATCAGCTGCTCCCAAAAGAAGAGGAAGTCAGGGAGATAAGACAACTACAGAAGGGAAGAAAGGAGAAAGAATGATTGAGTTATGGAGGCTCTGGTTTGAGGCATCTCATCCAGGTCCTACACCGGTATCACCAGTTGAGCCTGGAAACTTTCTCTGGGAATTCATGTGTGTGTTAAAGCATTGTCTTCTTTAACAACGTTTTAGAAATGCAAATCCCCTAAACTATGTGGGTCATTAACTTCAGAGTACCCATTTGTTTACCAGTCACCCTTTCTCAGAACTGCAGAGTACTGAAGAATTTTGTTAAGAGGAAAGAGAAATAATATAACAGAAGGGCTATTTCCCAGGAGGCCAAGACCCATGACAAAGTGAGAGGCTTAGACAACAAAAGACTATTTATCTCCAAGGACCTAAGTTAGGAAGGGAAAGGTGAGACCTGATTTTAGACCTACCTTTACCACTCTATGGTCTTGGGCAAGGTATTTTGCTCCTCTGGACCTCAGTAAAATGAGGAGGACAGACAGGATGCTCTTTATCAGATATGACTTTTGCAAATATTTTCTCCCAGTCTGTGACTTGTCTTTTGATTCTCATCATCTGCAGAGCAAAAGTTACCAATTATAATAAAGCCTAGCTTATCAATTATTTCTTTAATGAATCATACTTCTGATGTTGTATGTAAAAATCATTGTCATATCCACAGTTATCTAGAGTTTTCTCCTTTGTTATCTTCTGGGAGTTTTATAGTTCTGCATTTTACATTTAGGTCTATGATCCATTTTGAATTAATTTTTGTGAAGGGTTTAAGGTTGGGGGCTAGATTCACTTCTTTGTATGTGGCTGTCCAGTTGTTCCAGCACCATATGTTGAAAAGACTCTCTTTTCTCCATTAGATGGCTTTTGCTTCTTTTTGTCAAAAAGTCAGTTGAGTATATTTATGTGGGTTTATTTCTGGGTTCTCTATTCTGTTCCATTGATCTCTTTGTCCATTCTTTTGCCATAACCAAATGTTCTGTAAGTTTTCTTGTTTGGGGGTGCCCGAGTGGCTCAATTGGTTAGGTGTCCAACTCTTGATTTTGACTCAGGTCATGATCTTGGGGCCATGAGATCAAGCCCTGTGTGTAAAGCAGGAGAGCTAGGTTCTTGTCTCATGGAGTCAAAGAATGAACCTCGTGGACAAAGGAGACAGAGTGAAGCGATAGAAGTTTATTAAGCAAGAATACAGAGAAAGTTCTCAGCAGTGAGGGGGTTCCTGACAGGGTTGCCACTGGGGGCTTATAGGTTTGGTCTTTTATTGAAAGGCAACCAAGGAACCTATATTATTTTAACATATCTATTGCTATCACCATTAAGTGAGTGAGGGCTAGGTGGGGTGGGGGGTGAAGGGGGTGGCTACGTGATCAGGCTCACAGAGATACCAAAAATGCCAAGGTATAAGTAAACCAGAGATAAAGGAGCAAGCCAGACCACCCTGCCCTAGGTGTGGATGGGGAGGATGTCTTTTTATGACACCCTATGGCCAACAAAGAATAACCAGACCCCAAAGAAGAAGTGTCATTAAAGATGTTATCATCAGCTCTAACTCAAACCAAGACACCATAAGAATCTCAAAGCCACAAGCTTCCCAGTCAATTCTCAATAAAAGGCCAGCCAAAAAGCCATCAGTGGCAACCCTGTCAGGACCCCTCTCACTTCTGAGAGTCTCTCTGTATCTTCACTTAATAAATTTCTATCGCTTTACTCACTCTCCATTGCCCACAAGATTCATTCTTTGACTCTGTGAGACAAGACGAGCTCTACCGTATCATTCTGGTGCTGAAACCCAGGATTACTCCCACTGAAGGCTGAGTAAATGTGGACTCTCCTTTCTCTCCTGGGAGAAGTCTCTCCCTTGGATAACCTCTTCTTGTTACAAACAACAAAACCGGCCACCTGGGGGCCAGTTAAACTCAAATAGTGTGGCTGCTGGACTCAAGACTCAGGTGACAGGCTTCTGGAGAAAGGTTTGGTCAATCTCTCTTCCCCAAAAGAAGAGAATGTTGGCCTAACCCTACCCAGTTCTGCTTTCTATTTTTTGGCTTTTCTTCAATGGCTTTCTCTCGCCTCAGGGACTTTGCCTATAGTAGGGCCCTTCCAATCTCTGATGGTCAGTATATCCTTTTATTTAAAAAAAATTTTTTTTAATTTTTTTGGCCCATAATCAAAACTTTATTGAAAAACTGACACTGTTGTAAACCTTACAAAATTAAACATAATTACATTATCTTGGTAGATTAACTGGAATTACTGAACTGATAACGCTTTCTGCGATGTAACACAAATTCAAGAGGTTGTGCAGATCATTAGTGTTGCTTTCTTCTAAATGAACAGCCTTCTGTAAGTCTGGCCTTTCCTCCCGTTAGCTGGCACAACACGGTTGTGTCTACACAAAAAACCACCGTCTGAGCATGGCTGAAAACCGTGGTAATCTTGTAGCAAACTGGACATTTTACATCCAAAAAATAGAAATTTGGGCTTTGAACTAGCCGTTTCTTTTCATGTTTTTTCTTTTCCTCTTCCAAGGATGGATGCAGCAGATCTCTGGCCAGAGGTATGTTGATCCTTTTGCAATCGCAGCCAGTCCTGATCCAGTATATCCTTTTAATCTGGGATTCGTTTCAGGAAGAATGTTGCCCATGTAGGGACAAGGTTTTTCATTTAAAGATGTCTTTTGTGATAACTTAGGTCAGGAGGGGAATCCTGCCCTCATTTTTGTCACCTGGTAAGACATATGTCTTTCTGTTAGGTGTAAACTAGGTTTAATCACAGCCAGGAATTAAAACTAAAATTATTGAAGAAAAAAAAACTAAAATTATTGGCAAGCAGGATTAGAGCTATCTCTTTATATGACATGTTGGAGGCCACCTGATGTTTCCTGGGCATTTAACTCTTCTTGGAATACTTGGGCGTTAAAGGAGGGAATTACAACTCCCCCAGCCAATTCTTCAACTGGTTGCATTAATGGCTGGAGCTTTAAGGTGTTATATAGTCATTACATAGTTGAGGCTTTCTTGTTCCACCAACAAAAATATGGAATTATAATGAGGCTAAGTGTCAGGGTCTGCATCCCTCAGTAGGGCCTTGCTGCAAATGGGACCTCAGGGGCAGCCCCAGTGGCCCATCCGTTTAGCGCTGCCTTCAGCCGGGGGTGTGATCCTGGAAACCCAGAATCAAGTCCCTGCATGGAGCCTGCTTCTCCCTTTGCCTGTGTCTCTGTCTCTCTCTCTGTCATGAATAAATAAATAAAATCTTTAAAAAAAACAAAAAACAAAAAACAAAAAACAAATGGGATCTCAGGAATTGGAATGGAAAACCACCAAGGATGAGGCCAGGAAAATCAATTGGCTAATAATAGGCCTGAGGCTAGGAATGCAAGCAAACTTACCTGACCAAACAATGAGGGCTCCTGCAGAGAGCTCCAAAGAGTAAGGTCAATTATAGGATTCCCTGCTTTGTTTTAGTTTCCTCCGGAGAGTGCACCTAAGGACTGGCAATCCAGCACTCTGAATGCCCTTTGGTTATCATTGGTGGCCTTGGGGTCTTCAAGATGAGGAAAAGGATGGAGATGGGCCCTGGGGGTCACATCTCAGGGAAGCCTCATCCCTAAGCAGCACACGCCTCCCACTGAGAGGCCTTAGGTGTTTCACTTGCTTCCTTGAGCTTCTAAAAAAGAATATCACAATTGAAACTGTTAACCTCTTCAAGCTCTATAATTAGGCCAGACTTTATTTCAGGGAAATCCAGAGAAGACCAGGAGGATTAGGTGGCAGACAGGTAAGAGTGGCTAATTCCCAGTAGCCTGATCCTTCCTCATCCCAAGATGTTAGGCAGCTCTTCACTTGGGAGAACGAACCAAGGGATGCCTTGGTTTAGGCAAGAGCTGATATGTTGGGACGCCTTCATAGTCAACCTCCCTATGACAGGTACGGGGTAAAAGACTCCCACCAGGATTTCGAGATGGGAAACAACCCATCCTCGGCAAGGATGCCTCTGGATTGCACTCTGAAAAATTGAAAGAAAAATTGACCCGCTGGCGGTTAAAAAGACAGGTACAGGGTAAGAAGACTCCTACGAGGATTACCAGGATCACGAGACGGAAAACAAAACCATCCTCCACAGGGACTTCTGGGTTGGGTACTGCAAAATTGAGTATTTTCCCCTTGTAAAACTTTTCTAGTGTTTTCCGTTAAAAACAGCAAGTTCTTCAAGGCAAGGTAAAATAAGGTGTGACCTTCAGGTCAAGGCATGGTCTTTTCAGTTCCCAAGGACTCTCCCCTTCGGGGTACCTTTTAACCCACTGGAAACAATTTGGATTACAAAATTTAGGGAAGGACTGGTCTCCTGTAGCACTTGCATGTCCTCAGTGGGATCTATCAGTTAGATCTTCTGCCGAAGTCAGGACCCCCACCTAAGGGCCTCCAGGCCCAAACATTCTTGTTTGCCTGAACCTGTTGGCTGGTAAACTCCCTCCTGACATATTGGATAATTATCTAAATAGGCCTCCGAATAAACTCAGGTCGTTGGAGGAAACGCAGGGCCTCCCTAGCAAAGAGGACGCTGACTCTCACTGTTCCTCCCTATAGCCACAGGCTACTCTACCTGGACATGGGGAGTCTCTCCCTCATTCATTTCCCAGTTTAACGGTTATAATTAGAGCCAACTGTGGTTAGTCTACCTCAGGACGGGGGCTTTGAGGAATATTCTCAAGCAGCTGCTGAAATTCTCTTTGTTTCAGGAAGTTCTCTGTCTTCTCTGGCCTGTCCTGGACTGCCTAATTTCACTCCTTGGTGTTTGCTCATCTGTCCAAGTGGATGAGCTTTAGAACTGGGAATTCTTTTTTTCCACCCTTTTGGCTGCACTTCGCCTCTTCTGTCTCCCCTCCCCCTGCTCCACCTTAGGTGTCGCCTGCAGACACTGCTCACTCCAGATTTCCCCCACCGGTGTCTCAGGTAAAAATTGATAAATGGGGAACATACTGACTTTTTATTTATTTTTTTTAATTTTTATTTATTTATGATAGTCAGAGAGAGAGAGAGAGAGAAAGAGAGAGAGAGAGAGAGGCAGAGACACAGGCAGAGGGAGAAGCAGGCTCCATGCACCAGGAGCCCGACGTGGGACTCGATCCCTGGTCTCCAGGATCGTGCCCTGGGCCAAAGGCAGGCGCCAAACGGCTGCGCCACCCAGGGATCCCCATACTGACTTTTTAAAGTGGACCCAGGTGAAACATACTCAGTATTTAAAGTACTTTACGTTTGTTGGTATTTTCATTTACTTATTTATTTATTTATTTATTTATTTATTTATTTATTTATTTATTATTTTTTAAAGTTTGTTGGTTTAATTATGATATAGACATTATCTTTAAAGTTATCAGCATTAAATATGAAACTTTTACTGTATTGTTTGCTAAAGGTCAAATAAGCTTGAGTTATCTCTGCAGTTTGTTAGCCAACGATAACTTAAAATGATTTATCTTGTCTGTCTCAAAGTATTCATAGGTAATTGTTAAGATAGCATTCAAATTTTTTGGCAACCTACAACGTTGAAGTGTTGCTTGGATAGTAATTGAGATTCAATTCATTGGACATTTAAGTCTTTTCCAAATAGGATAAAATGCTAAAGCATTAATTACCAGACATAGGTTTGTGCTTTTGACTTATTGCAGAGAAACTAAGGATATTTGAGTTTGTAGGTAAACATGCTTTGTGCTTAATAGATCGATCAATTTGCCATCTAAAGAGTTTTGGTATAAGTGTTCACAAATGGTTACTACTCAGTTTTCACCGGTGACCAAGGTATCAAAGAGTAATTCTGCTAAATGTAATTAAATCTGATGGAGAATAAGGGAAACTCTGTATGTAGGAAGGTTGGAGATATGAAAGAAAGATAGAAGAATGGGAATGCATTTTTTTTTAAGGGTAAAAAAAGAAAAGGTAATTGTGTCCTACATGAGACTGATTGTTTAAAAAGAAATGGCTTGGGACAAAATCTGCATACAAAAGAAAGTTGTAGAAGGTTTGTGAAGGTAAATCTTTGGAAAAGAATTTTGGAAGTGGTCAGGATGGACTAAGATTGAAATGCATGAGTTTTAAAAGAACACAGGTATAAGATTAAGTCTGCTTTCTCTCTGTTCGAAAAGACAAGTTTTCTCGAATTGTTGGCCTGCTCTTGATAAGAAAATGTAAACAGTTGTTTTCTTTTTTTTTCTGCCCAGAAAAAACAGTTTCTATGTTTTGCCTTTATCAGGTCTTTAACATCCCTCATCCTATTTAGGCTTGTGCTTTAAAGCTTTCTACTGTTTTAACAAACTTCCCAAAATTTAAATTGTAAACGGAGTCTTTTTGACTCATTAGGCCTTTTATTAGGTATGTTAAGTTACTCTGACAGCACTGTTAAGCAAATGACAAGCCTTAGGTTACATTTGGGTAAATGCTATAATTGCTCTAGAGATGATATGCAATTCCTGAAGTTTTACTACGTTTTAATATATTTTGATCATTGAAATATTATGTGCCACAGAAACAACTGAGTTTCCTTGTCAATTGAATCATAATGAACTCACATCAGATTAACTGTGTCCAAGTTTTTGTCATCTATAATTGTTCTTATTTTCTTGCAATATGAGTTTCACCTTCAAGAAGGTTCATTTAAAGTATCCTTAGGACCAATACAAATTTTTGAGATCTTTAAGATCAAAACGGAAATGGGTAAAAATTCCAGAACTAACTAAAGTTGCATTCAAATTAAACAAAAGGGCAGCCCCGGTGGCTCAGCCATTTAGCGTTGCCTCCGGCCCAGGGTGTGATCCTGGAGACCCAGGATCAAGTCCCATGTCAGGTTCCCTGCATGGAGCCTGCTTCTCCGGAGCTCTGCCTGTGTCTTTCATGAATAAATAAATAAAATCTTAAAAAAATTTTAAACGAGAATAGTAACATGGGACTAAAACCAAGAGGATGATTATAGTTGCTTGAAACACTACTGGTTTGCTAATGTTTGCTCTCCTAGGTTAAAACTTTCTTTTAAGATATCTGATTTAAAAAAAAAAGATATATGATTTACCAAAACATGAGAAAGTATTTTTTTTTTAAACAAATTAAAGCATTAACTTTTCTCTCTAATTGAACCCTCTGAAATTCAAAAGGTCTCTCAATAAGTATTCTTTCTTCCCTGGCTAATGTTGGACCCTGGCTCACGGGTGCCAACGTGGCCCGGTGGACGCCCCAGAGACCCAGACCCCAGACAGGCAGATGCAATTAGCAAGAGGGTTTATTGAACGTTTGCGCAAACGGGCTCTCCGCCTCCGAGGAGGAAAAGAGCCCCGATTAGCAGTTACAGGTATCTTTTAAAAGGCAAAAGGAAAGAAACTGCCTAAAGACAAAAGAACCGCGGGAGTCTCGTAGCATCCAGGTTGATTTCGGGGAGGGTCAACATGAACCTATTCAGGGACATTCCAGTCAGGGTGTGTGGGGGGGGAACGGTTTTCTTATTGTAAACAGAATGCTTTTAGTTGCTAAAATTTCAGGAAGAAGACTGGATGGGCTGCCTCTGGATTAGGGCTGGCCCTACTTACAAGGGGGGAGGTTTCTTCATTCCCTCCTCTTGTTTGGGCTGATTTTAACCTTAAAATCTTAGGGAACATTTATTTTTTCAGTTTGGAGGGCCCGACATTGCTGAGTTAATACCAGAGCTTGGGTAATAGACAATCTTTCTCGGATGAACTGGAGCAGCTGGTTGAGGACGCAAGGGCCGAAAGTTAGCAGCAGGAGCAGGATAACTAGAGGGCCCATAATGGTAGAGATTAGGGTGGTCAACCAGGGAGACTGGTTAAACCAGCTTTCAAACCAGCCCTGCTGGGCCTCCCGGTCCCTTTGTCTTTTATTTAACCTTTCCCTGAGTTTGGCCATGGAGTCTCTGATGACTCCAGAATGGTCTGCATAGAAACAGCATTCCTCTCCCAGGGCCGCACACAGTCCTCCCTCTTTCAGGAATAGTAAATCCAAGCCTCTCCTGTTTTGAAGTACTACTTCTGAAAGTGAGGTGAGGGACTGTTCTAGCTTAGAAACGGACTGCTCTAGTGTCCGTAGATCCTCATCTACAGCTGTTTGGAGTTCAATATAATGTTGTGAGTCCTGGATCAGAGCAGCTGCGCCAGTACCCACCCCAGCAGCGACCCCTAGTCCCAACATAACGGCTAAGGTTAGGGAGACAGGTTCGCGCCGAAAACGGGTGGGAGGTTTATCATACTGATTTTCTAGAGTTTCAGCAGGGTGATAGAACACCCTGGGTATGATCTGCACCATGACACAGAAGTCATTTGAGCTATTTAGAACCTTAGCCGACACACAGGGGGTGAGGCCTTTGTTGCATGCCCACCAAGTTCCCGGCTGGGGCTCCAGGTAAGAATCAGTCCCCAAAATCGGGGTGGTAGTGTTACAGAGTCTCTGGTAGCCCCGGGGGGTGTTCCTATGCAGGTTCCCTGTCCTGTAACTTCTGTAAGGGTGAATTGTGGTTGGGAGTCGGGTGTGCATCCCTGAGTGCTAGTGATGTTATTATAGGTCCCTGAAGTAGCAATTCCCTCATAATAAGGGGGAGGGGAAGCAAGGCAGAGCCAGCAGGATTTAGTTACATCGGGGCTGGTTCGATTAAGGGCCAGGAATGCCCCTATGATAAGATTAAACAGTCGTTGTCCCGTCTCGGGTGACGACCCAGGGGTTGGAGTGACCGCGAAGTTAGTGGGTGCGGCACTCCCTGCGGCTAGGGCCGGGGCAGCTCTTTGTTCCCCGAGGACCGCGTTAGGCCCGATCGCCACGGGGTCTGGGGATTCTATTTTTAGTTTAATTCTGAATATAAAACCATCATCTGTTCTTTCTTTGTATAACCTGAGTCCCCACGTATATCCATTGGCCCAGTAAGTAGCCCTTTTTCCGGGCTCCGTGAAGGATATCCGTAGGGGATGACACCACCCTTGGCAGGGCCCATAATTAAGGGTTTTCCATTTGCTAAATGTCGGATGAGTATAGTTAGCCTTGACAGTGATATAATCCCAGGAGGAGGAGGGCCTCCATTCTGTATCCCCCGTAGTTTCACAACCCCAATTTTTACAATAAAAATATTCCCCTCCTCCACAGGTGGGATTTAGCCTGCGATCTCTGTGGTTCCCGGGACAGACATAAAAGGGAAGAGTGCTTAGCATGGCCCTTCTGTCAGGCGTGCCACATCCTCCCCATGGGTCTAATCCCAGTCGCCCTGGAGGGCTTTCTTGGTTAGGGGCTCTAGAGGTGTCGAAGTATCCCTCTAGGTCCCATGGGCTAGGGGCCCCTATGGTTAGCTTGCAAAGGTCAGGATATAGGTCAGGCCACCAGGTTCCCACGGGGGCGGTCTTAGTTATAGACCAGACCTCGTCACCCCCAGACGTTAGTACCTGCCAGGTTAACCTTTTGAGGGCATGAGGGTCACCTCTGGCGGAGGTGAAGAGCGCTAGGAGAGGTAGGAATATTACAACTGTCATTGAACAATTTTTGAAAGTCTTATCTTGAGCGGGTTTTGGGTGCGGTGGAGCTTCCATTGGAGCGGCTCGTCCGGTCCGTCCTGGCTGGCGTCAGCGGTGCTCGTTGATGGGGCGCGCTTGACGTGTGAGGCGTGGACCCAAGCAGCAATGCCGTCTACCTTTAAGGCGGTTGGGGTGGTCAGTAGTACAGTATATGGGCCCTTCCAGCGGGGCTCAAGCGTCCTGGACTGATGTCTCCTGACGTAGACGGAGTCCCCGATCTGGAACGGGTGTGGGCCGGTTGTGTCTCCGGGGCGGTAGACAGCCGCAAGGGGTTTCCAGATCTGGTGCTGGATAATCTGGAGCGCCTTTAGCCTGTCCTGTAAACCGGGAGTGTTAGCAAGAGGGTCAATAGCAGAGTCTAGTAAGTCCGTTACTGGTGGGGGACCTCCATAGAGAATCTCGTAAGGAGTTAGCCCATGGCGCGCGGGAGTGTTCCGGACTCGGAACAGAACCATAGGGAGGAGTTGGACCCAGTCTCTAGTGCCAGTCTCCAATGTCAATTTAGTTAGGGTCTCTTTAATTGTTCTATTCATTCTTTCTACCTGACCTGAGCTCTGGGGTCTGTATGCACAATGTAATTTCCAATTTATCCCCAGTAATCTGGCCACCAACTGACTTACCTGGGAGACGAAGGCGGGGCCATTGTCCGACCCTATTACCTTGGGCAGTCCAAACCGCGGGAAAATTTCTTCCAGGATTTTCTTGACAACCACCTGGGCGGTTTCTCGCTTGGTGGGGAAAGCTTCTGTCCAGCCTGAAAAGGTATCTATAAACACTAGGAGGTACTTGTTACCATATTTACCTGGCTTGATTTCAGTGAAGTCTACTTCCCAATTAGTTCCGGGTCTTTCTCCCCTCATCCTGGTTCCCTCAGGCATCTTGAGGTGTTTGGTATTTACCTTAGCACAAGGTACACAAGCATCGGTTACCTGTTGGATCAGGGAGGGGAGTTTGGGAATGTAATAGGTCTGACCTTCTCTCCGGAGGAGTGCTTTTAATTTTTTGTGTCCGAGGTGAGTCCATCGGTGGAGGTGAGTCACCAGTTCTTTGGCCCTTTTCTGGGGCAGGACCGTCTTCCCTTGGTGTTTCCAGACCTTCATTTGCTCGTCATATCCTGCCCCTATTTGCTGGACGATATCTAGGTCGCTGTCTGAGTACTCGAGAGAGAGTTGCCCCGGTGTCCGGACAGCCTCTGGTACTTGTAGGGAGAGGGCCTGTGGGCCTAGTGCAGCGGCCCGTGCTGTCTCATCGGCCATCCTGTTCCCCTCTGCTACTGGGTCATTGCCTCGCTGATGCCCAGGACAGTGAATTATACTCAGTTTTCTCGGCAGAAAGAGGGAATGGAGAAGATCTTGTATTTCTTCTCTGTTTTTGATGTTTTTACCTGCTGAGGTTAGGAGACCCCTTCTACGGTATATTTCTCCATGAACATGGGCAGTTGCAAAAGCATATCTGCTGTCAGTATAAATGTTGACCTTTTTGTCCTTAGCCTTTCTTAGGGCCTGAGTTAGGGCTATAAGCTCTGCCCTTTGAGCTGAAGTCCCAGGCTCTAAGGCACTGGCCCAAATGACAGCTTTCCCATCTACCACGGCTGCCCCGGCTTTACGCTCACCATTTCGTAGAAAGCTACTCCCATCGGTGTACCAGGTTGCTTCAGCATCTGGCAAAGGCTGGTCTGTCAAGTCCCCTCTGGTGCCATGGACTTCAGCTAGGATCTGGTGACAATCATGCATTACTAGGGAGGGGGACTCGGTTTCTGGAAGCAAGGTGGCCGGGTTTAGAGATGTAGCCGTTCCAAACTGTATCCGCTCAGAATTCAGTAACATGGCCTGATAATGGGTGACCCGGGCGTTTGAGAGCCATCGATCAGGGGGCTGGCGGATGACTGTCTCTATGGCGTGGGGGGCCACCACAGTGAGGGGTTGGCCAAAAGTCAACTTGTCTGAGTCTTTTACCAGGACTGCCACAGCCGCTATTATTCGGAGACATGGGGGCCATCCTGCAGCCACGCTGTCTAATTTTTTTGAAAAGTATGCCACGGGCCTTTTCCAGGGTCCCAGTTTTTGAGTTAGGACCCCTTTTGCTATTCCATTATGTTCATCAGCATATAGCGTAAAAGGCTTGGTTACATCTGGGAGGCTCAGGGCAGGGGCGGTCAATAAGGCCCTTTTTATTTTGTCAAAAGCCAATTGCTGCTCCTTTCCCCAGTGGTAGGGGGTGTTGGATTTCGTGAGAGGATATAGGGGAGCCGCCATCTCCGCAAACCCGGGTATCCAGAGGCGGCAGAACCCAGCACTGCCGAGGAACTCTCGTAGTCCTTTGGCATTAGTGGGTGCTGGGATCAGGGCTACAGCCTTTTTGCGGCTCTCCGTCAGCCACCTCTGGCCTCCTTCCAGGAGATATCCCAGATAGGTCACTTGTCTCTGGCCTATTTGGGCCTTTTTGGCAGAGGCCCTATACCCCAGTTCTCCCAGTCTCTCAAGCAGGGCCCCCGTACCTTTTACACAATCCTGTTCTGTCCTAGCCGCCAGGAGCAAATCATCCACGTACTGCAGGAGGACGAGGTCCGGATGGCCAACTCGGAAATCTGCCAAATCCCGATGCAAGGCCTCATCGAACAAAGTGGGGGAGTTTTTGAATCCCTGTGGCAGCCTTGTCCAAGTGAGTTGTCCTGAGAATCCCGTCTCAGGATCTTTCCATTCAAAAGCAAAAATAGGCTGGCTTTGAGAGCTTAACCTCAGGCAGAAGAATGCATCTTTTAGATCTAACACCGTATACCAGACATGGCTTGGGGGTAAGGTGCTGAGCAAGTTGTAGGGATTCGGCACCGTGGGATGTATGTCCTCTGTCCTCCAGTTAACCTCTCGTAAATCTTGTACCGGCCGGTAATCTCCTGTGCCGGGTTTTTTTACGGGCAATAGAGGAGTATTCCAGGGCGACTGGCAAGGTATTAAAATGCCCAATTGTAATAGTCTCTGTATATGGGGCCGAATGCCTTCTTTGGCCTCTTTGCTCATTGAATATTGCCGGATCGATATGGGGGTGGCCGAGGGTTTTAAGTTTATAATTATGGGCGGCTGGTTTACAGCTAGTCCCATTCCGGCCGTTTCCACCCAGGCCTGAGGGTAGTTAGTGAGCCATTCAGAATCTAGGGGCTGCACGGACGGTGGAGAGTCCTCGTGCAGCCGGTGTTCATCCTCTAGGCGCAAGGTCAGTACCTGGAGGGGCTGCCCTCCCGCGCCAGTAATAGTGGCCCCTTTTTGCTGAAAATGTATCTGGGCCCCTACTTTTGAAAGAAGGTCTCTGCCTAGGAGAGGGTAAGGGCAGTCTGGGACCAGTAAGAAGGAATGCGTTACTTGCCCAGTGCTCAGGTGGACCTTCCGTTCGGTTGTCCATCGATAAAACTTGCCTCCAGTTGCCCCCTGAACCCAAGACGTTTTAGAGCTCAAGGGTCCTTTTGCCTCAGTTAAAACTGAATGTTGAGCTCCCGTATCGACCAGGAAGGTCACCGGCTGTCCCCCCACTTTAAGGGTTATCCGAGGCTCAGGGGGGGGTTCCTGGCCCTGACACCCCTAATCTTCATCTTCTAGGGACAAAACAGGAATGGGCTTCTTTTTAGGTCCCTGCGTTTGGCCCTTCCTTGGGCAATCTTTAACCCAATGTCCTTTTTCCTTGCAGTAGGCACACTGGTCTCGTTCAACCCGTGGTCCTCTTTTGTCTCCCAGGTCCCTACTCTGTCCTGACTTACTCTGCCCTGAGCCCTGTACTACGGTGGCCAGTATCCTAGTCAGCTCTTTGTTACGTCTTTTATCTCTCTTATCCTCCCGTTCCTCTTGCTCTTTACGGATCCTTTCCTCCCTTTCCTCTAGAGTTTCTCGCTTGTTAAAAACCTTCTCTGCCTCTTTCACTAAGTCCTGTAAGGTGTACCCCTGAAGTCCCTCCAACCGTTGTAACTTATTACGAATATCCGAGGCCGACTGTCCAATGAAGGACATAATTACATCTGGTTGGCGGTCTTCAGCCAAGGGGTCAAAGGGAGTATACATGCGGTAGCCTTCTATTAACCTCTCCAGAAAACCTGCCGGCGTCTCCTCTTTTCCCTGCACTATAGCACGTACCTTTGCCAAATTGGTGGGGCGACGCCCTGCCCCTTTGAGACCCGCTAGGAGTACCTGGCGATAGAGACGGAGCCGCTCCCTACCAGCAACAGTGTCGTAGTCCCAGGTCGGGCGAACCAAGGGGAAAACATCCTCAATCTCATTAGGCAGCTGGGTTGGCCTCCCGTCCGCCCCCGGGACGTTTTTCCGAGCTTCGAGGTACACGCGCTGTCTCTCCTCCGTGGTGAGGAGAGTCTGCAGGAGCTGTTGGCAGTCATCCCAGGTCGGCTGGTGGGTCAACAGAATTGACTCAATTAATCCGGTTAGCGCCTGGGGGTCTTGGGAGAAGGAGGGGTTATGAGTTTTCCAGTTGTAAAGGTCAGAGGCAGAGAACGGCCAATATTGCATCTGGCCGCCTACTGACCGGAGGGGAAATGCCTGGGAGGTCCAGACGTCTTCCGACTCTCCCCCGCGCTCTCGCCGAAAGCGGAGGCGACTGGCGAGCGGGGGTGAAGCGAGGGGTTGCCCCTCTGCCCCCGTAGAGTCGGGGGACGGAGCTGAGGGAGCAGAGGGAGAGGTAGGGGCCTCCGAGCGGGGCGTTGGGGGTTGGGCATAAGGGGGAGGGGAGGAGTCCAAGAGAAGGAGACTGTCCTGGTCCCCTGGGAGCACAGGCGGCTCCTTAGGTTTTGATTCAGGAAATTTTAGGGGGCAAAGGGTGGATGGAGAGGAGGGACGGGGAATTGGGGGAGTGTGGCAGGGAGGGAGTGAGGGTCTCGGGCCCGGTCCCCCTTGAGAAGGGATAAAGCAATTTATCCAGGGGGGGGATTCTTAGCGAGATCCTCCCATACTATGATGTACGGCACCTGATCGAGGTGTCCATTGGGTCCTGGCTGGAAGACCAGGGCCTTCACCTGCAAGATAATATCAATATTAAAAGTTCCGTTCCTGGGCCACCCGACGTTGAAAGCCGGCCACTCTGAGGAGCAGAAGGTGACCCATCTTCGTCTTCTGACTTCGACCGAAAGATTGTGTGCCCGGCCGGCGACTTCTTTCCAGTGATCTAGAGTGAGGCTTAAAGGGGTGGTTACAGTCTGCCCCATGGGTGTAGAGAAGGGGTGAGCGGTGAGGAGGAGGACAGGAAAGGAAGAGAAACACGGAACGAACAGACGCACACGAACGACAGGACTGGCGCGGCAGATTCAGATGGGAGCGGTCGCGAACAACGACCTTCCCTGAAGAGGAGGGAGTGCCGGGGCTCCGTTCCTCTTCCAGACCACTCCGGAGTCCGACTCCGGAGGGGGACCAGGGGTCTCGGGCACGTCTGCCTCCCCCGCTGGTCCAAATACAGAATACAGAGTACAGCGTCCTGCAGGCACAATACAGACCCGGCACAAAACAGACCCGGCCAGTCAGACAAACGGACGAGACAGATATGACATTTAGCGAGCTCGGTCTTACCTCCTACCGGTCTTAGGATTGAGTCTGGGGCGTCTCAGATCCCGGACGAGCCCCCAAATGTTGGACCCTGGCTCACGGGTGCCAACGTGGCCCGGTGGACGCCCCAGAGACCCAGACCCCAGACAGGCAGATGCAATTAGCAAGAGGGTTTATTGAACGTTTGCGCAAACGGGCTCTCCGCCTCCGAGGAGGAAAAGAGCCCCGATTAGCAGTTACAGGTATCTTTTAAAAGGCAAAAGGAAAGAAACTGCCTAAAGACAAAAGAACCGCGGGAGTCTCGTAGCATCCAGGTTGATTTCGGGGAGGGTCAACATGAACCTATTCAGGGACATTCCAGTCAGGGTGTGTGGGGGGGGAACGGTTTTCTTATTGTAAACAGAATGCTTTTAGTTGCTAAAATTTCAGGAAGAAGACTGGATGGGCTGCCTCTGGATTAGGGCTGGCCCTACTTACAAGGGGGGAGGTTTCTTCATTATCATAGTCATTTGCATAAACTCAATAAGAATCTGTTCTTGTAACAGGACATCATTGGAAATATTGGTTATTTTACCAAGGCTTTGCTGGAATGTCATATCTGAGAGACGTGCATACACTCAGATATGACCAAACAGCTATACAGAACTAAGATTGACTTTATGAAACGTGGCGCCACAAAGCCACTTGGAAATGTTAGCCTGATACCTTGCTTACAGAGTTCCCAGCAGCCTCACCAGGTGAGTAAAGAATGTCGCGTCCTGGCAGATGCAGGAACCTCAGGACACTTTGGGGACCTCGTGAAGAGGAACCTGCCCAAATCTACAAGATCACAAGCACGTCTGATGCCAAGTACTTGGCTTGGCTTCTGGCCTGGAGGGGCTACTAAAAGTTCAACCTAAAGATTCCTTATAAAAAGTTCCAGCAAAGTAGATTCTAAAAGATCTATATGATCAATCATTGTTCTTGCTGAGCTTATGTAAATAATTAAGCCAAGTTTGTTAAAACTGGACTTGTTTTGCAGACAGATCAGTACTGATTTGGCTACTGCAGATTAAGAAGTGAGGGTTATTATAGAGAGAAACTATGTCTCAATAACACATTTTTGCAGATGTTCAATTATAGCTCTGATTATGTTATTTTATTTTATTTGGCTGGGTACAGTATACTATGTTGATGGTACATGACAAGGTAGGGCTCCCCAAGCCCCTCCCCTTCCTCAGGCTCTGGGATGTAAATGAGGTTAGGAGATTCTCAGTGTGTTGGGGGATTAAGTTGGGGCTGGGACTCCCCAGCAGCTGAGGGCCTCTCTCTTCCTCTTGTTCTTGCTGGGGCTGGTGGTCCAGGAGGCTCTTACTCCTTGGAGGCCATGTGGACCATGAGGTCCACCACCCAGTTGGTGTAGCCGAATTCCCAGGAAATGAGCCTGAGAAGTGGTCTTTGAGGGCAATGCCAGTCCCAGCGTTGAAGGTGGAAGAGTGGGTGTCACTGTTGAAGTCACAGGAGACGATCTGGTCCTCAGTGTAGCCCAGGATGCCCTTGAGGGGGCCCTCCGATGCCTGCTTCACCACCTTCTTAATGTCGTCATATTTGGCAGCTTTCTCTGGGCGGCAGGTCAGATCCACAACTGACACGTTGGGGGTGGGGACACGGAAGGACATGCCAGTGAGCTTCCTGTTCAGCTTAGGGATGACCTTGCCCACAGTCTTGGCGGCGCCAGCGGAAGCAGGGATGATGTTCTGGGCAGCCCCTTGGCCGTCCCACCACAACTTCCCGGAGGGACCGTCCACGGTCTTCTGGGTGGCAGTGATGGCATGGACGGTGGTCATGAGGCCCTCCACGATGCCGAAGTGGTCATGGATGACTTTGGCCAGAGGAGCCAAGCAGTTGGTGGTGCAGGAGGCATTGCTGACAATCTTGAGGGAGTTGTCATACCTTCTCATGGTTCACGCCCATCACAAACATGGGGGCATCAGCAGAAGGAGCTGAGATGATGACCCTCTTGGCCCCGCCCTTCCAGTGAGCCCCAGCCTTCTCAATGGTGGTGAAGACCCCAGTAAAAAAAAAAAAAGACCCCAGTGGACTCCACAACATACTCAGCACCAGCATTACCCCATTTGATGTTGGTGGGATCTCACTCCTGGAAGATGGAGATGGACTTCCCATTGATGACAAGTTTTCCATTCTCAGCCTTGACCATGCCGTGGAATTTGCTGTGAGTAGAATCATACTGGAACATGTATACCATGTAGTTGAGGTCAATGATGGGGTCACTGATGGCGACAATATCCACTTTGCCAGAGTTAAAAGCAGCCCTGGTGACCAGGTGCCCAATACAGCCACATCCGTTCACTCCAACCTTCACCATCATGTCTCTGGGACGCGGCTGGCACTGCACCAGAAGATGCAGCTGTCTGTCGAACGGGGAGGAGCAGAGAGCCAGCTCTGATCATTATTTTTTATTTTTTTTAATTTTTATTTATTTATGATAGAGAGAGAGAGAGGCGCAGAGACATAGGCAGAGGGGCAAGCAGGCTCCATGCACCAGGAGCCCAATGTGGGATTCGATCCTGGGTCTCCAGGATCGCGCCCTGGGCCAAAGGCAGGCGCCAAACCACTGCGCCACCCAGGGATCCCGCTCTGATCATTTTAAATGAAGTTTGCCTAAGCTAGACTACTTGAGGTACACTTCAGAGAAATAGCTTTTCTATTTCTGCACAATAGAAATAGATGTACAAGATAATCTTTATGCTTTTCATTCTATGGGAATAAGAAGATCCCATGGGTGTATGATTATTTAAATAACAAAAAAATGGAATTCTCCAGTGATTGTATATACAACTAGCACTTTGACCAATTCTGTATGGCTATGATGACAAAATTGCTCCTTGAAAGCCAGAGCGTACCCCACTACATGGGTTTAACTATGGCCTTGTTGTGAAGATAATGATGACCCCACTTTATGATTGGATTGGATGATGTACTTGGGGATGCCCTTATTTCTTGACAAGTTTTCTCCTACTTACAAGTGATACCTTGCAATTATAATACTGTTCAGGCTAGACCTCAAACCATGAGGGCTTCTTGATGGTTTTATCCCTCAGTCATATTTATCCTAGAAGCCACCTCTACTGAGGCACAATTGTAAACAAAGACTTTAATCAAGCGTATAATGACCCTCATGGTAAAAAGAGCCTCAAAGCTCACTATGGAACTTGCAGGACTTATGTTAGACCCACAATATAAAATAAGCAAAACAGTATGGTTGCTCAGCAGGACTCTAAATAATACTTCCCAGGCACTGGATACACTCGACGAAGAATTAAGTCAGAGAGGGACTTCTCAAGTCACGCACCATTATTGACTTTCTACTATTGCTACACCATTTGTGATGTGAGGAGCTTCCTCACATGTGTTGTTTTAACATTACAGATATTTCTCACAAGGTATCTCAATTAATAGGGGACATTTGTAATCAATTAAAAGGATAAAAGGTATCCACTGATCTGTTCAACAAAATTAGTAATTGAAGATCTTATGTAAGAAATGTAATCATAATTTGGGGCCTAATTACTTATTTTATGTTTATCCTCTTTGCATGTGCTGATGAATGCCCCCATTGCAGTTCATCATGACCCCCTGGTGTCATGACCCCAATTGCAATGACATATGGCTCTCAATGTCCTAACATTGAAACCCAACCTGGGAACTAAATCCTTTTAATACTATCTATTGGTATCACCATTGAGTAAAGACTAGTGATCACATCTTTAAAGGCTTACTTCCTTTTTGGGGTCTGGTAATTCTTTTTTGGTCACAAGTAGCTGTTAAAACAAGACCCCACCTCTGGCACCTGGGACAGGATGGTCTGGTTTATTTATCTCTGGTTTCCAACACTAATTCCCCACAAAGTTGGCTTTTCGATAGCCTAGTAGGAGTGGGGGCCACATAGGCCAAAATTTTATGACTCAACAAGTCTTGCTACTCAGCTTCAAACATCTCTGCAGTACAGGCCCCCAATGTGTCTAAAACATATAACCCAAGCCAACTGCATACTACTCAATGCAGCTTTATCCTACACTTCCCATCTTCAACTAAATGGCTTAAACCAACTAAGACGATGGGCCTTATTTTGTGCCGATATCGCCTATTAAGTCATTCCTTTTTTTTTAAGATTTTATTTATTTATATATTCATGAGAGACACATAGAGAGAGGCAGAAACACAGGCAGAAGGAGAAGCAGACTCCTCCAGGGAGCCCGATGTGGGACTCTATCCTGGGACTCCAGGATCACACCCTGAGCTGAAGGCAGACACTTAACTGCTGAGTCACACAGGCGTCCTCCTATTATATCATTCCTAAATGATTCTCATGATTATGTACTGTAGACAAACTGGGATTATTACTCTTCCCACCCCCAGCAACACATTACTGACGATGACTGCCTCATCTACCACCCAATTGCGATGATAATGTGGTTCTCATATCAGATGGGGAAACAACAGCCGTAGACCTCTCCTTTATAGCTAGAAGTCTTATGAGATAAAACAGACTTTGTTTGCTCAGCAGAACCTTAAAGGACACATCCCAAGCACTGGATGTTTTAAATCAAGAACTAAGTGAAGTTAGGGCAGGATTTCTAGAAAATCGGGCAACTATTGATTACTTGCTACTTCAACATCACTTAGGTTGTAAAGAATTCCACATCTATCCTGTTTTAATATAACTGACAATTCTTAAGAAGTCTCGCATTTAACAAATGACATTCAAGCTCAACTGGACAAAATCAGTCTCTTGGCCTAATGGTTTGCTTGGCCCGGAAACTGGGGTCAATATTTCAGAGATGCCATTTTACTCGTGGAAATAATTTTTGGATTTTGTTCTTTTTCTCTGTGTTTGTCATTGCCTGTGTTGCCTCATGCCTTCCAACATCTCTCTGGATCCATACCATGAAACTCTTGACTGACCCCTGAGAATACTCTGACTGCTGTCCCCTCATGCAGTCCCTTTTCAGTCTGAAGCAGCCAGAGCGGCCATCTTTCCATTCCCCAATGGCAGTTAGGGTTACTCTTGCAGGGGGAGAAATGAGTTCGGGACAAATGAGACTAGGCAGGGCTAGGTAGGGGGCTATGGAAGCAGGCTCACAGAAATCCCAAAAATGGGAGATGAAAGGAAACCAGAGATAAACCAGACCATCCTGTCCCAGGTGCCAGAGGTGGGGTCTTGTTTTAACAGCTACTTGTGACCAAAAAAGAATTAACAGCTCCCGAAAAGGAAGTAAGCCATCAAAGATGTGATCACTAGTCCTTACATAATGGTGATATCAATAGATAATATTAAAAGGATTTAGTTCCCAGGTTGGGTTTCAATAAAAGATCAACCCTACAAGCTCCCAGTGGCAACCCTGTTGGGACCCCTCTCACTCCTGAGAGCTCTCTCTTTATATTTGTTTAATAAACTATCGCTTTACTCACTCTTTGTCGTCTGT